TGGTTCTGATGTCACAGGGAAATAGAGTTGGGTGTCATCTGCATATTGATGGCACTGTCCTCCAAAACTCCTTATGACCTCTCCCAGCGGCTTCATGAAGATATTAAAAAGCATAGAGGACAAGATGGAACCTTGTGGGACCCCATAGCACCATGGGGTCGAATTGCAGTCCCCTAGCTCCACCTTCTGAAAGCGTCCCGACAGGTAGGACCAGAACCACTGCAAAACAGTGCCTCCAATACCCAACTCTGCCAGGTGTCCCAGAAGGATATCATGGTCGATGGTATCAAAAGCCGCTGAGAGGTCTAAGAAAATCAACAGGGATGCACTCCCCCTGTCTATCTCCCGGCATAAGTTGTCTACCAGGGCGACCAAGGTGGTTTCAGTTCCAAAACCAGACCTAAAGCCAGACTGAAATAGATCTAAGTAATCTCTTTCTTCCAAGAAAGCTTGGAGTTGCAATGCCACCACCCTCTCAAGTACCTTGCCCAAGAAGGGAATATTAGCAATTGGGCGATAGTTATTTATATCATGTGGGTTCAGGGAAGTCTTCTTGAGTAACGGTTTTATCACTGCCTCTTTCAAGGCAGCGGGAACCATACCGGATCTAAAAAGACACATTAATAATCACCTGGCCCCAGCTAGTCATCCCTTTCTGGCTAGATTTAATAAGCCATGAAGGGCAGGGGTCAAGTGAGCACGTGGTCAGTTGCACTCCTCCAAGCACCTTGTCCACATCCTCAGTCTTCAGTAGCTGAAATTGATCCAGAGAAAAATGAATAGGTAGTACGCTCAACACATTCTGTGTCCCACTTACATAGCAACCAGAGTCCAAATCCAACTGGATGCGAGCAATCTTATCTGCAAAGTGCTTTACAAACAAATCACAGCAGGGGGCCAAGAGCACCTCTGTCATGATCATGAGAGTTAGCCAGCATCCTGGGGACTAAGGGATTAACTATGTCCCTTACCTAAACCAGGTGGCAGGCAGCCAATAGAAATTTAGGTAGGAATTTCAAATGGGAACAAAGGAATTTTTGGGTTTTTCCCTCCTTTGTCCCTGGGCAGTTTCTCTCCAGCTATTGAAGGGGCCAGGATGTCTCCCTCTAAGAAAATACTCTTTACAGTCTATAAATAGGACTCCTCCAAGCACCTTGTCCACATCCTCAGTCTTCAGTAGCTGAAATTGATCCAGAGAAAAATGAATAGGTAGTACGCTCAACACATTCTGTGTCCCACTTACATAGCAACCAGAGTCCAAATCCAACTGGATGCGAGCAATCTTATCTGCAAAGTGCTTTACAAACAAATCACAGCAGGGGGCCAAGAGCACCTCTGTCATGATCATGAGAGTTAGCCAGCATCCTGGGGACTAAGGGATTAACTATGTCCCTTACCTAAACCAGGTGGCAGGCAGCCAATAGAAATTTAGGTAGGAATTTCAAATGGGAACAAAGGAATTTTTGGGTTTTTCCCTCCTTTGTCCCTGGGCAGTTTCTCTCCAGCTATTGAAGGGGCCAGGATGTCTCCCTCTAAGAAAATACTCTTTACAGTCTATAAATAGGATAAAGTTTAGATAAATCCGCTAGGTTTTATTGTTTTATGGTTTGGGAAATGGGATCTGGTCTGTGCATTTAAAAATGGGTTTGGCTCTCCTTTGTAACTAAGTTCCTGGCCCATGGTAAATTTCTTCTTCATGAGTATATTATTTTGTTACTGTTCCATCTAGTCATTATGCTTGCAACAGGAATATTGTGGTGATAATAAACAGGGCTTGACAAACAACGGCGAAAGCCGCTCACCAGCCCCGCACTGCGCATGCGCAAGACCCATATTGCGCATGCGTGTGCCGCCGGTGAACAGGGCGACCGGCTGAAATCTACTTGCCATGCGTGAGTAGATTCAGTGATTTGTCGAGCCCTGCCAATGGGGGGAAATGATAATAAAAGTTCTTTCTCTTTTCTTTTTATTAACCTGGTATTGGTTAATTTTTGTGTCCTGGTTTGTACTTTAGGGGTGAGATTTCCCAAGTAGTCTCTCCCTGGTTGCTCTATTAATATTTGGGTAGTGGCAGTGGCGTTTTATTCTCAAAATCTAGGTTGTTAAGATTTTGGGGGGAAGTTTTATACCAAAGCCTGGTAGATAAGGTTCCGACTAGATTTAATAAGCCATGAAGGGCAGGGGTCAAGTGAGCATGTGGTTGGTTGCACTCCTCCAAGCACCTTGTCCACATCCTCGATCTTCAATAGCTGAAATTGATCCAGAGAAAAATGACTAGGTAGTACGCTCAACACATTCTGTGTCCCACTTTCATAGCAACCAGAGTCCAAATCCGAACGGATGTGAGCAATCTTATCTGCAAAGTGCTTCGCAAACAGATCACAGTGTGGGGCCAAGAACGCCTTCATTTCGTCATGAGTGCCAGACTGCAACAGGCCCTGCACCACTCAAAACAGTTCCACTGCACAGCATTGTGCGGATATGATACGGGTGGAGATGTAGCTTTTCTTCGGTGTCAGCACTGCCACAGAATAAGCTCGCAATTCAGCTCTAACCCGCAATTGATTGGACTCAGCTCTAGTTCTCTTCCAGTGGTGTTCTAGCTGTCACACAGACCATTTTGCCGCCATCAGCTCCCTAGAAAACCAGGGAGCAAACTTGGCTCGACTAGCCCGAAGAGGGCACTTAGGAGCAATCATATCAACTGCCCAGGCTACCTCAATGTTCCATGTATGACTAGGGCATCAACAGGACCATTTGCCATAATGGCTGAACAATCCCTCAGGGACGTCAGGAAACCCTACGGATCCATCAGCCTCTGAGGGTGGATCATCTTAATCGGTTCCCTGCCTCTGTACAGGGGAAGGTCAGCAGATAGTCTAAACTTGACCAGGCAGTGATCAGTCCATGACAAAGGGAGTGTAGCCACATCCCTTATCCCAAGAACTGTATCTCCCTTAGTCCAAAACCCAAAATTGAGCGTATGACCTGCAACATGCATTGGGTCAGTTATTCCTAGGGTGGTCAAGGTATCCATAAAATCTTGGGTTGGACCAGATAGGACAGTCTCAGCGTAGATATTAAAGATCAGAAGCCTTGGGGTCCTCAATGCCATGTCCGAGACCACGTCGGCCAGTACAGCGAGGTAGATGGTACACAATCAGCATACCCAACCTATCCCAACCACCCAACATCAAGTAAAAACACTTGAATCTAACACTTTGGTGGACCAAGGCCCTAGCCAGTGAGATAGTATCTTGATAGACAATTGCCACCCCACCTCTCCAACCATTAAGCTGCAGCTGATGCTGTATTGAGAACCCAGCCAGGCCCAACTGGGAAAGGTCAGCACCTCCCTCCACTCCCAGCCAGATGTCAGTGATACAAGCCAGGTCAGCCCCTTCATCCAGGATTAAATCATGGATGACAACTGTCTTCTGGGATACTGATCTAGCATTCAGCAGCAGCACCCTCAGATGGCCAGGTATTGAAGTTCCCAGAATTACTGAGGTTGGGAACAGGACCGGAAAAAGGTATAGCATGTAACTGTCTAAACCTCATTCCTCTTGGCTGGCCAGTCTGCATCTTATTTCCATATCTTCCCCTAACTGCCACAATGCCATCTGAGCCCTCCCCCTCAGGTACCCCATCTGTGCCAAAGTACATAATGGGAGGGTGGGGGAAGACAGAACAAACACAAACCTTCAGTTTGGGCAGGTAAAGGGAACTTCCTCTCACCAAGAACCCTTGCCTGCCCTCCCTGCTCTCACCAGGGACTGAATAAGCCACCACACAACCGACAGTGGGCTGCTCCCACCAGCACACACTAACACACACTCAATAATTATAATATCACATAAAACTGCCACCATCACAACACACCCTTTGCCCTCGGTCTGCCTGCAAAGGGCTCCCCAAAGGGCAGCCCCCTTTGGCTCGCCCCTTTGGGGCGGCCTGCCACCAGGGGCGGCCTCTGGCTTTAAAGCCGCCCCTAGTAATGGCTACAGGCAACACCTGCAGCTGAAAGATCTGAGTCCTAACAGGGCTGGCCTCTTACTCAGGAGAGAGACAGCAACAGTAGTACAGCAACAGCAGGGCTAGATCTCTCCTTCAAGGGAGGCTAGGAGAGATATTAGTCCTTTTGCCCAGCCGTCACCCTTCCCTCTGACTTATTTCAAAATTTGGCACTGTCTACATGGAACTTATTTCAAAATAAATCACTATTCTGAAACGTCCCTTACTCCTTGTGGAATGAGGTTTACAGGGACATCACAATAGCAAGCCTGTTATATCTTTAAATAACGGATGTACTCAAAAGATACGGAATAGCTATTTCAGTGTAGAAGTAGCCTTAGGGACTAGCAAATATATTAGATCATGAGCTTTATATGTGTTAGTCTCGAAGGTGGTACAGAACTGCTCACTGTTTTTACAGTTACAGTCTAGCATAGCTACCCTCTGAGACTTATCTATCAACTATTAGTAAGACACTTCACTTATGATCCTGAAATTGTCCTTTACGGGTTTTCTTTCACTCTCTCCTGAAACACCTAGTCAAGGCCACTGTTAGAAACCAGTGATGAACTCTTGGTCTGAGCTGTTAAGTCTGAGCTGTTATTGAAATTCCTATGTCTTTTGCCTCCCCTATGTTTGTCTCATACTATTTTTGAATTAGAACACAGGTTGAATCTCTTCAGTCTGGCACCCTTGGGATCTGACCAGGGCCAAAGCAGAGAATTTGCTGAGCCACAGGACCTCAATATTGTCTAGCAGCATTACCAACATTTCCACTGCTTACTGGGTTCTTAGAAGACAATTAGGGGCAAATTAGAGGTACATAACAGCACTCGACTGGTAGCTGTAAACAAACTTTACAGGACTGCAGGAAACTTGGCCACACCCATGATAAGTGGCCATCCAACCAGAGAGTACTGGATTATAGAGGCATGCTGAATAGTGCTCCTGTAGAATATCCTCTTAGTATTCACAGCATTTGTTACCTGGGTAGGCAATCCTTTTCATTGCATTTCTTTTGTCGTCCGTTTGGCTGCATTTCAGGGTCACAGAAGGAGTTTTTGATCACACTTCCTCCCCTTTTCACACACCTGGCTGTCTGTCGCTGAACACCTGTGAAAATAATATTAAATCCTTAAACTTTTGTGCTCAGTTTCAAATGGACATTGATCATGTTGGCTTACATCAACCCATCTCACAATGTGGTTTTCTGTCTGTGGTTTTCAAAACAAAAAGGAAAAGGCAGTAGCAACTATCTGAAAAGCAACAATTATGCTGTATTAGTTTTGTTTTCAAAAGGAGAGGACTATTCCCTGCTAATTTATTATTCTTGGTCATATTAGAAGAATAAAAAGCATATCACAGCACTTGGAATATCTTAGCCCAGTGTTTCCCAATTTGATTTGGCCATGGAAACCTTTTAAACTCGAAAGAATTTTGCGGAACCCCTAATAACAGTCATATATGGAGCTGAAAAAGTAGACTACAAATAAGCAAGGATAATAATAAACAAATGCTAAACAAGGTCATGATATATAGATTAATCTATCATAGAATCATAGAATACTAGGACTGGAAGGGACCTCAAGAGGTCATCAAGTCCAGTCCCCTACCCTCATGGCAGGACCAAATACTGTCTAGACCATCCCTGATAGACATTTATCTAACCTACTCTTAAATATCTCCAGAGATGGGGATTCCACAACCTCCCTGGGCAATTTATTCCAGTGTTTAACTACCCTGACAGTTAGGAACTTTTTCCTAATGTCCAACCTAAACCCCCCTTGCTGCAGGTTAAGCCCATTGCTTCTTGTTCTATCCTCAGAGGCCAAGATGAACAAGTTTTCTCCTTCCTCCTTATGACACCTTTTTAGATACCTGAAAACTGCTATCATGTCCCCCTCAATCTTCTCTTTTCCAAACTAAACAAATC